GCCGCCGGCAGCTCTGGGAAGCCCGGAGCCTGGTCCCGATCCCGGCGGCGGTACGACCGGTCTCGGAGGTGCCCCGCGAGCAGTCGGAGGCCAGACCCGCGAGAGGGAGGTGGATCAGGGTTGTGGAGGGATTCAGACCCGGGGGGCTGGAGAGTCAGTGGGGCTTTTGGCGGGCTCTGGGCAGGGAGGGAGCCACGAGGGGTTGTTACCGGTCACAGTGCCTTGACCTGAACACCCCCTCCAAGCAGGAGGCGAGCTGTGATCTAGTGTGCTGAGGAGGGTGCCACGCCCTTCTGTCTTGCTCTCCGCAGGTGCGGAAATCCCGTGGGATCCTGTCACAACCTCCCATGTCGAAGAAGACTTTGATGCACGGAGACTTCTTGGCTAAGGAGGAGGAGTACAAGTAAGAGCAGAGCTATGAGGGGAGGGGCAGAGATGCCCCCTTGACCCTATTTTGATATCAGTAAAACACTGTTTAGAATGAGATTGCTGGCGCATTTGCCTTGTCCAATTTGATCACTTTTAAAGTGGTTGCTGGGTGTTTAGATGGACCCCAGAAAGGTTCTTCTTTCTCAGATGGCCTCTTTAGTGCTAACAGATAACCACATTCAATTCAATTCAAAGCTATCCAAGTCCACTGGTGCACCTGTCCTTATAGAGCAGTTATGGCCAGAAGTATTAAGAGTGCCCTCTTCATCAGACGAGTTTGTCAAAGCAGAAATTACAGTTCTTGCTAACTAGTGTTCTGATACCCTCCCCCCTTTTCCTATTGGCACCTTACACAAAAGGTTACAGATAAAACATTTTCACAGTACTAGGTCTCAGTGTAGGTAGATTAGGAGTTTGTTTCCTATTTTTTTTTAAAACCATCTCTTGAACTTACTTTCAGTAAAAAGATGAGCTCAAAGATGAACTCACTTTAAAATATGCCATGACTTTGTTTTAAAAAGTTACTAGGGGGCTGCGCCCCCTGGTTACTACGCTTGCCAACCCCCCTCTCTCTGGGAGTTAGCAACCCCAGCTCTCCCCCGGCTACTGAGGAGGGCTGGGCTGAGGCCATGCCAGCCCTGGCTCTTTCTATCCAACTGAGGCTGCTCCAGTAGCAGCTCTCTCTACCCCCACCCCCTGCGCCAAGGCCGTGCCAGCCCCAGTTCTTCCCCCCTGCTGTCCAGCTGAGGCTGCGCCAACCCCAGCTCTTTCCCCTCTCCCGGCCTGTGGCATAACTCTCTCCCGACCCTGGCCGAGGCCAGCCCCAACTCTGCCCTTGGCACCCAGGGACGGCTGATGCTGCAGTGTACCAGCCCCAGCTCTGCCCCTGGCTTCCGGAGAGGGCTGGGCCAAGGCTGCAGCACGCCAGCCCTGGCTCTTTTCCCGCAGTGGCTAGGGAAGGCCAAGGCCATGGCATGTCAGTGCCCGCTCGCCACATGTCTACCCGAGAGGGAGTGAGTGTGGCTTATATTCAGGGACTCTGCCTCAGCTGAAAGGGGTGGGGCCAGAGGCTGGGCTTTACCTGCCTATGCTTAACCCCCAGTCTGTGGATGCTGTGATGTGATGACATCAGTCTGTTTTCTGCAGGAAAACCTTTTATGTATATAGAGAAACAGTGCTGTAAATTTTTTTGTTCTTAGAGTTTTTTAGCTGATTGGTAAGAAACCTCCCTCTCTCTCCCTCCCAGTCTCTTCCTGCCCCGTTTAGGAATATATGATGCATATGATCCCCCTACTGCATAAGCATGATTATACAGACATGTGATGACATCAGTCTGTTTTCTGCAGGAAAACCTTTTATGTATATAGAGAAACAGTGCTGTAAATTTTTTTGTTCTTAGAGTTTTTTAGCTGATTGGTAAGAAACCTCCCTCTCTCTCCCTCCCAGTCTCTTCCTGCCCCGTTTAGGAATATATGATGCATATGATCCCCCTACTGCATAAGCATGATTATACAGACTTCAGTTATATACAGGCAGTCCCCGACTTACGCGGATCCGACTTATGTCGGATCCGCAGTTACGAACGGGGCTGCCCCAGAGTACATGAACTGCGGGACCTCGCGGTCCTGCCGCCCGTGTACTCTGGGGCTCTCTATGACGCTCCACGGTCTGCAG